GACCCCCCACACAAATTTCCCCTCCCACTAAACCTTCCCCCACAAAAACTTCCCCTCCCCTACGGGAACCCCCCCACACAAATTTCCTCTCTTCTGCCCCCCCACATAAATTTCCCCCTCTACTGCCTCCCCCCATAAACTTCCTCTCCTGACCCCCAAAACCAAACTTCCTCTTATGCCTCCAATAAACTTCCTCCCCTACTGACCTCCAAATAAACTTCCTCTCTACTGACCCCCCACATAAATTTCCCCTCCTACTGACCTCCCACCAAATTCCCTCCAAACTGACCTCCCACAAAAATTTTCCCCCTTTTAACTGCCCTCCCACACAAAAATTCCTCTCTACTGACCCCCCCACAAAAAATTCCCCTCTTTTATAAACCTCCCACAAAAATTTCCTCTTATGACCCCCACACAAAAATTTCCCCTTTCTACTGACCTTCCCACATAAACTTCCCTCTACTGACCCCAAAACACAAACTTCCTCTTATGACCTCCCCCCCCAAAAACTTCCTCTCTACTGCCCCCACAAAAAAATTCCTCTCTACGGGCCTCCCCAAAAATTTCCCCTCCCCTACTGACCTCCCCCCACAAACTTCCTCTCTATTTGCCCTGCCACAAAACTTCCCTCTTTACTGACCTCCCACACAAAAACTTCCTCTTTTATTTGACCCCCCACAAAAAATTCCTTTTCTACTAAACCTTTTCCTAAAAAAAAATTCCCTCTGTACGGGACCTCCCCTTAAATTTCCCTTTTAAATTTGACCTCCCCCCAAAAATTTCCCCTTTTCCTAATAAACCTTTCCCACACAATCTTCCCCTACTGACCTCCCACAAACTTCCCTCTATGCCCTCCCACAAAAAAATTCCTCTCTACTGCCTCCCACACAAACTTCCTCTAAACGGGCCCCCCCCCAACACAAACTTCCCTTTTAGGGACCTCCCAAAAACAAACTTCCCCCCTGGGATGCCCCTCCCACATAAACTCCTCTCTACGGGAACCTCCCACAAAACTTCGTCTTTCGGGAACCTCCCAAAAAAAACCCCTTCTCTAAACTGACCCCCACAAAAAATTCCTCCCTACTGACCTCCCACACAAATTCCCTCTACACCCCCACACAAACTTCCTCTTACTGACCTCCCCCTTAAATTTTCCTCTTAGGCCCTCCCCACACAAACTTCCTCCTACTGACCTCCCACAAAATTTCCTCTCTACTGATTTCCCCAAAACAAAATTTCCCTTTCTCTACTGACCCCCCACAAAAAATTTTTCCCCTACGGCCCTCCCGCTTTTAAATTTTCCTTTTCTACTAAACCCTCCCACCCAAAACCCCCTCTTTTACTGCCCTCCCTTTTTAAATTTCCTCCCCATGACCCCCAATAAATTTCCCAAATTTTACTGACCCCCCCCCAAAAAATTCCTCTTACTGACCCCCCACATAAACTTCCTCTCTATTTACCTCCCCCCATAAACTTCCTTCTACTGACCTCCCACACAAAATTCCCCCTTACAAAACCTCCCAAAAAAACCTCCTCCCAGGGACCTCCCACATAAACTTCCTCCAAACTGCCCCTCCCAAAAAAAACCCTTCCTCTTACTGCCTCCCACATAAATTTCCCCTCTCTACTGACCTCCCACAAAATTTCCCTCTCAAACTGCCCCCCACACAAACTTCCCCCCTACTGACCTCCCACCTAAACTTCCTCTCTACGCCCTTTCCCCATAAATTTTTAACTCTACAAAACCTCCCACACAAATTTTTTCCTCTCTACTAAACCCCCCAAACAAACTTCCCCCTCTACTGACCCCCCAAACAAACTTCCCTCAAATGCCTCCCACAAAAACTTCCCTCAAATGACCTCCCCATAAACTTCCTCTTACTGACCTCCCACACAAATTTCCTCTTACTGACCCCCCCACAACAAATTTCCTCTTTTACTGATTCCCACACAAACTTCTCCCCAAACGACCTCCCACATAAACTTTTCCCCCCAAAAATGACCTCCCACAAAACTTCCCTTATGACCTCCCAAATAAACTTCCTCTCAAAGCCCTCCCACAAAATTTTCCTCTCAACTAAACCTCCCACAAAAACTTCCTCTCTACGGGCCCTTCCCACAAAACTTCCTCCTACGGAACCCCCCAAAAAACCCTTTGCTCTCTACTGTCCCCCCAAACACAAACTTCCTCTTAAACTGCCCTCCAACAAACTCCTTTCCCCTTCTGACCTCCCACCAAATTTCCTTTCCCCTACTGACCTCCCACAAAAAACTTCCTTTTTAAATGACCCCCCACATAAACTTCCTCCCCTACTGACCTCCCCATAAACTTCCCTCTACTGACCCCCCCCAAAAAAATTTCCCCTATTACTCCCCTCCCACAAAATTTTCTCTATTTCCCCCCCACAAAAAACTTTCTCTTACTAAAACCTCCCACCCCAAAACCCCTTTCCTCTTTACTACCCTCCCAAAAAAACTTTCTCTCTACGGGACCTCCCACAAAAACTTCCCCCTCTACGGCCCTTTCCCACCCCAAATTTTCCTCCTTATGACCCCCCCCACAAAACCCTTCCCTCTCCTGCGAACCACAAATTCCTCTTACGGGACCCCCCCAACCCCAAAATTCCTCTTATTGGCCTCCCAACAAAATTTTCCTTTTCCCTACCCCACACAAATTTCCCTATCTACTGACCTACCACAAACTTCCCCTCTTCTAGGGACCCCCCACTTAAACTTCCCCCTTACTGACCTCCCCAAAAAATTTCCCTTTCCCCCCCCTGCCCATCCAAACAAACTTCCCCCTTTTCTGCCTCCCACATAAACTTCCCTTATTCCCTCCCACAAACTTCCTCTTTTACTGGACCTCCCACATAAACCCTCCCCAACGGGCCCCAAAACCAAAACTTCCTCTCGACTGCCCTCCCACTTTAACTTCCTCTCTACGGGCCCAACCACAAATTTTTTATTCTACTGACCCCCCCACAAAACTTCCTTTTTCTATTGACCTACCACAAATTTTTCCTTTTTTGACCTCCCACAAAAAACTTTCTCTCTACTGACCTCCCAAAACAAATTTTCTCCTAATGCCCCCCCCACAAAAATTTCCTCTCTACTGACCCCCAAACAAAAAATTTCCCTCTCAAAATTTGCCTCCCCCCAAAAAATTTCGTCTCTACTAAAACCCCCCACACAAACTTTCCCTCCAAATTTGCCCTCCCACAAAAAACTTCCTCCTTCTAAACCTCCCAACAAAAAATTTCCTGTCTACTGACCCCCCACATAAACTTCCTTTTTCTACTGACCTCCCACACAAACCCTTCCTCTTTTACGCCCTTTCCCCCATAAACTTCCTCTCTAATGCCCTCCCCAAAAATTTTTCCTTTTCTAATCCTCCCACATAAACTTCCTCTTACTGCCCTCCCAAAATTAAAACTTCCTCTCAATTTCCCTCCCACAAAAAATTCCTTTTAACTGCCCTCCCACATAAACTTCCTTTCCTACAAAAACCTCCCCACAAAAAAACTTCCTGTCAACGACCCCCCACATAAACTTTCTCTCAAATGACCTTCCACATAAACTTCCTTCTACTGACCCCCCAAACATAAATTTTCTTTTCTATGACCCCCAACAAAATTTTCCTGTCACTAAACCCCACCAATAAACTTCCGGTTTTACGACCTCCCACATAAATTTTTCCTGTTTTACGGCCCTCCCACAAAAAATTTTCCTGCAAATGCCCTTTTCCCCCCATAAACTTTCTCTCTACTGGCCATCCCATAAAACTTCCTTTTCTACTGACCTCCCCACAAAAACTTCCTTTCATTTACCTTCCCCCCACACAAACTTCCTCTCAAATTGACCCCCCCCACATAAATTTTCCCTCTTACTGCCCTTTCCCAAACATAAACTTCCTTTCTACTGACCTCCCCACAAAAACCCCCCCTGTCTACTGACCCCCCCACTTTAAATTTTCCTTTTTCTACTGCCCCCACAAAAAATTCCCGTCTACTGACCCCCACAAAAAACTTCCTCTTTTAAAGACCTCCCCACAAATTTTCCCCCCTCTATGCCCCCCCACAAAACCCCTTTCTCAAAACGACCCCCCACAAATTTCCTCTTACTGACCTCCCCACAAATTCCTTTACTGACCCCCACGCAAACTTCCTCTTATGCCCCCCACAAAAAACTTCCTTCCCCTACTGCCTCCCACAAAATTCCCTTTCCTTTTACTGCCCCTCCCACAAAATTTCCTCTCTTTTGACCTCCCACACAAATTTCCCCTCTCAAAGACCTCCCACACAAACTTCCCCCTCAAACGACCTCCAAAAAAACTTCCTCTCCACTGTTTCCCCCAATTAATTTCCCTTTTCTCTTCCCACCCTGCCAGTTTTCCCCCCATTTTTTTTTCCAAAAGGCCAGCTTCCCCATGTTTCTCCACCCTTTGGCCATCCCCTTTCCTTTTTTTTTCCCCCCTTTTGCCCGCCCCCCCCTTTCCCCCCGGGGTTTTTTCTAAAACATTTTTTAAATTCCCCCCCACCCAAATTTTGGTTTTTTCCACATCCTTTTTCTAAAAGTCTCCCCCCCCATGTTCTCCCATCCTCCCAGTTCCCCCATTTTTGCCAAACCCTGCCGTCTCCCCCTTTGTTTCTCCACCCTTTCCATCCCCCCCTTTGTTTGTCACATCCTCCCTTTTTTCCCCCAAGTTTGACACACCCCCTCCTTCCCCCCCAGGTTTTGACTTTCCTGTCAGCCCTCCCCCCCAGGTTTCTCCCATTGCCAGTCTCCCCAGTTTCTCACATTCTGCCAGTCTCCCCCATGTTTGTCACATCCTGCAAGTCTCCCCCATGTTTGTCACATCCTGTCAGTCTCCCCCATGTTTGTCACATCCTGTCAGTCTCCCCCATGTTTGTCACATACTGCCAGTCTCCCCCATGTTTCTCACATACCTCATCCTGCCAAATGTCAAAACAGTCTAGTCACACACGTTACCTTCCACTTACCTGTCAGTACTCTTCAACCCCATAATATTCTTGGGTATATGTATATACAAGTCTCTGCATAAATACTCACTGTTGCTGTTAGTAATATAATGCTTATATGTTCAGTAGGTACTACCGTCCTGCCAAGTGAGTGTAAAACAAAAGCCTGTAATTGTTTTACATGATGGTAGGATTGCTGGTGTCTTTTGTCTGTCTCATAAATATGCAAGATTACAGGTATGTCTTGCTACTTCTACTTACACTTAGGTCACACTACACATACATGTACACGTTTATTTATACACACTCATCTGAGTTTTCTTTGATTTTATCTTAATAGTTCTTGGTCTTATTACTTTTCCTTTTATATCCACTGGGAAGTGGAATAAGAATCTTTCCTCCGTAAGCCATGCGTGTTGTAAAAGTCAACTAAAATGCCGGGAACAATGGGCTAGTAACCCCTTTTCCTGTAATAATTACTAAAAAGAATAAGAAAAGAAAATTGTCAAAGTGGGAAGTCTGAATGTGTGTGGATGTTGTGTGAATGATAAGATAGAGATGATTGTGGATGTTATGAATGAGAAGAAGTTGGATGTCTGGCTTTAAGTGAAACAAAGCTGAAGTGGGTAGGAGAGTTTCAGTGGAGAGGAATAAATGGGATTAGGTCAAGGAATTCTAATAGAGTTAGAGCTAAAGAAGGAGTAGCAATAATGTTGAAGGATAACTTATGGCAGGAAAAGAGGGACTCTAAATGTATTAATTCAAGGATTATGTGGAGTAAATTAAAGGTTGGATGTGAAAAGTGGGTTATAGTAAGCGTATATGCACCTGGAGAAGAGAGAAGTGTAGAGGAGAGAGAGAGATTTTGGGAAATGTTGAGTGAATACAATTATTCTTTGCCGATTACACGGTTCTTTAGGGAAGATTCTGCAGACCAGCAGTAAAGCTTGGTGGATAACTTTGATAAGTGTGTGGAAAACGAAGATAAATAAGTGAAGGTCGAGAAGAGCGAAACGAAAAACTCCAGGCAATGACAGATTGATTAGAGGAGAAGACTAACAGCAGTTTCTTATATACACAACCGACTAACGTATAATAAAGTAGCCAAAACATGCAATAAACCAGGGAGGAGGTGTAATAAAGCAGGGAGGAGGTGTAATAAAGCAGGGAGGTGTAATAAAGCAGGGAGGTGGTGTAATAAAGCAGGGAGGTGGTGTAGTAAAGCAGGGAGGTGTAGTAAAGCAGGGAGGTGGTGTAGAAAAGCAGGGAGGTGGTGTAGTAAAGCAGGGAGGTGGTGTAGAAAAGCAGGGAGGTGTAGTAAAGCAGGGAGGTGGTGTAGTAAAGCGGGGGAGGTGTGTAATAAAGCGGGGAGGGGGGTGTAGTAAAGCAGGGAGGTTTTGTAGAAAGCAGAGAGGTGTGTAGAAAAGCAGGGGGGTGGTGTAAAGCAGGGAGGTGGTGTAAAAAAGCAGGGAGGTGTAGTAAAGCAGGGAGGTGGTGTAGTAAAGAAAGGGAGGTGGTGTAATAAAGCAGGGAGGTGGTGTAATAAAGCAGGGGGTGGTGTAATAAAGCAGGAGGTTAGTAAAGCAGGGAGGGGGTGTAAAAAAGCAGACAGGTGGTGTAATAAAGCAGGGAGGTGGTGTAATAAAGCAGGGAGGTGGTGTAGTAAAGCAGGGAGGTGGTGTAGTAAAGCAGGGAGGTGTAGTAAAGCAGGGAGGTGGTGTAGTAAAGCAGGGAGGTGGTGTAATAAAGCAGGGAGGTGGTGTAGTAAAGCAGGGAGGTGGTGTAATAAAGCAGGGAGGTGGTGTAATAAAGCAGAGAGGTGTAGTAAAGCAGGGAGGGGGTGTAATAAAGCAGACAGGTGGTGTAATAAAGCAGACAGGTGGTGTAATAAAGCAGACAGGTGGTGTAATAAAGCAGGGAGGTGGTGTAATAAAGCAGGGAGGTGGTGTAGTAAAGCAGGGAGTTGGTGTAGTAAAGCAGACAGGTGTGTAATAAAGCAGGGAGGTGGGTAAAAAAAGCAGGGAGGTGGTGTAATAAAGCAGGAGGTGTAGTAAAGCAAGAGGAGGTGTAATAAAGAGAAGGGAGGTGTAATAAAGCAGGAGGAGGTGTAATAAAGCAAGGAGAAGTGTAATAAAGCAAGGGGATGTAATAAAGCAAGGAGGGTATAATAAAGAAAGGGAGGGGGTAATAAAGCAAGGAGGGGTGTAATAAAGCAAGGAGGGGTTAATAAAGCAAGGAGTGGTGTAATAAAGCAAGGAGGGGTAATAAAGCAAGGAGGGGTGTAATAAAGCAAGGAGGGGTGTAATAAAGCAAGGAGGGGTGTAATAAAGCAAGGAGGGGGTGTAATAAAGAAAGGAGGGGGTGTAATAAAGCAAGGAGGGGGTGCAATAAAGCAAGGGGGGGTGTAAATAAAGCAAGGAGGGGGTGTAATAAAGCAAGGGGGGGGTTTGTAATAAAGCAAGGAGGGGGTGTAATAAAGCAAGGAGGGGTGTAATAAAGCGGGAAGAGGGTGTAATAAGCAAGAAGAGTGTAATAAGCAATGAGGGGTGTAATAAAGCAAGGAGGGGTGTAATAAAGTAAGGGGGGGTGCAATAAAGCAAGGAGGGGGTGTAATAAAGCAAGGAGGGGGGGTAATAAAGCAAGGGGGGGGTGTAATAAAGCAAGGAGGGGGTGCAATAAAGAAAGGGGGGGGTGTAAAAAGCAAGGAGGGGGTGTAATAAAAGCAAGGAGGGGGGGTAATAAAGCAAGGAGGGGTTGTAATAAAGCAAGGAGGGGTGTAATAAAGAAAAGGAGGGGGTGTAATAAAGCAAGGAGGGGTGTAATAAAGCAAGGAGGGGTGTAATAAAGCAAGGAGGGGTGTAATAAAGCAAGGAGGGGGTGTAATAAAGCAAGGAGGGGTGTAATAAAGCAAGGGGGGGTGTAATAAAGCAAGGAGGATGTAATAAAGCAAGGAGGGGGTGTAATAAAGCAAGGAGGGTGTAATAAAGCAAGGAGGGGGTTAATAAAGCAAGGAGGGGTGTATTAAAGCAAGGGGGGGGTGTAATAAAGCAAGGAGGGGGTGTAATAAAGCAAGGAGGGGGTGTAATTAAAGCAAGGAGGGGGTGAAATAAAGCAAGGAGGGTGTAATAAAGAAAGGAGGGGGTGTAATAAAGCAAGGGGGGTGTAATAAAGCCAGGAGGGGTGTAATAAAAGCAAGGAGGGGTGTAATAAAGCAAGGAGGGGTGTAATAAAGCAAGGAGGGTGTAATAAAGCAAGGGGGTGTAAAAAAGGGCAAAAAGGGGGTGTAATAAAGCAAGGAGGGGTGTAATAAAGCAAGGAGGGGTGTAATAAAGCAAGGAGGGGGTGTAATAAAGCAAGGAGGGGTGTAATAAAGCAAGGAGGGGTGTAATAAAGCAAGGGGGGGGGTGTAATAAAGCCTCACCTGTACGCTCGTCGGAAACCATCAAGAACCTTGACAACGTGTGACTTTGTGGCCTCACGATGTACGACAGCTTCCCGGCATAATGGCAGCATCCACTGCAGCGCACGCCTAGCAGCGCCACCAGAATAACACATACTGAACATCACTTTTGTTATTATTAATGTTACAGTTATTATTATTATTATTACTATTATTATTATTATTATTATTATTATAACAGAATATAAGATACATGGACAGGAGTTCACTGTGATGTATCAAGAGTGTGAGTGAGCAGTGACTCACCTAGTGTTGTGACTCACCTAGTGTTGTGACTCACCTAGTGTTGACTCACCTAGTGTTGTGACTCACCTAGTGTTGTGACTCACCTAGTGTTGTGACTCACCTAGTGTTGTGACTCACCTAGTGTTGACTCACCTAGTGTTGTGACTCACCTAGTGTTGTGACTCACCTAGTGTTGTGACTCACCTAGTGTTGACTCACCTAGTTTTTGTGACTCACCTAGTGTTGTGACTCACCTATTGTTGTGCCCTCACCTAGTGTTGTGACACATTTAGTGTTGTGACTCACCTAGTGTTGTGACTCACCTAGTGTTGACTCACCTAGTCTTGTGACTCACCTAGTGTTGTGACTCACCTAGTGTGACTCACCTAGTGTTGTGACTCACCTAGTGTTGTGACTCACCTAGTGTTGACTCACCTAGTGTTGTGACTCACCTAGTGTTATGACTCACCTAGTGTTGTGACTCACCTAGTGTTGACTCACCTAGTGTTGTGACTCACCTAGTGTTGTGACTCACCTAGTGTTGACTCACCTAGTGTTGTGACTAACTAGTGTTGTGACTCACCTAGTGTTGTGACTCACCTAGTGTTGTGACTCACCTAGTGTTGTGCCCTCACCTAGTTTGCCCTCACCTAGTGTTGACTCACCTAGTGTTGTGACTAACCTAGTGTTGTGACTCACCTAGTGTTGTGACTCACCTAGTGTTGTGACTCACCTAGTGTTGACTCACCTAGTGTTGTGACTCACCTAGTGTTGTGACTCACCTAGTGTTGACTCACCTAGTGTTGTGACTCACCTAGTGTTGACTCACCTAGTGTTGACTCACCTAGTGTAACTCACCTAGTGTTATGACTCACCTAGTTTTGTGACTCCCCTAGTGTTGATACCTAGTGTTGGGGACTCACCTAGTGTTGTGACTCACCTAGTTTTTGACTCACCTAGTGTTGACTCACCTATGTTGTGACTCACCTAGTGTTTATGACTCACCTAGTGTTGTGACTCACCTAGTTTGTGACTTCACCTAGCTTTTGTGACTCCCCAATTTGTTGTGACTCACCTAGTGTTGACTCACCTAATGTTGAAGCACCTAGTGTTGACTCACCTAGTCTTGTGACTCACCTAGTGTTGTGACTCACCTAGTGTGACTCCCTAGTGTTGTGACTCCCTAGTGTTGTGACTCACCTATGTTTGCCCTCACCTAGTGTTGTGACTCACCTAGTGTTATGACTCACCTAGTGTTGTGACTCACCTAGTGTTGACTCACCTAGTGTTGTGACTCACCTAGTGTTGTGACTCACCTAGTGTTGACTCACCTAGTGTTGTGACTAACTAGTGTTGTGACTCACCTAGTGTTGTGACTCACCTAGTGTTGTGACTCACCTAGTGTTGTGACTCACCTAGTGTTGACTCACCTAGTGTTGACTCACCTAGTGTTGTGACTAACCTAGTGTTGTGACTCACCTAGTGTTGTGACTCACCTAGTGTTGTGACTCACCTAGTGTTGACTCACCTAGTGTTGTGACTCACGTAGTGTTGTGACTCACCTAGTGTTGTGACTCACCTAGTGTTGACTCACCTAGTGTTGACTCACCTAGTGTAACTCACCTAGTGTTATGACTCACCTAGTGTTGTGACTCACCTAGTGTTGACTCACCTAGTGTTGTGACTCACCTAGTGTTGTGACTCACCTAGTGTTGACTCACCTAGTGTTGACTCACCTAGTGTTGTGACTCACCTAGTGTTATGACTCACCTAGTGTTGTGACTCACCTAGTGTTGTGACTCACCTAGCGTTGTGACTCACCAAGTGTTGTGACTCACCTAGTGTTGACTCACCTAATGTTGAAGCACCTAGTGTTGACTCACCTAGTGTTGACTCACCTAGTGTTGTGACTCACCTAGTGTTGACTCACCAAGTGTTGTGAATCATCTAGTGTTGTGACTCATCTAGTGTTGTTACTCATCTAGTGTTGTTACTCATCTAGTGTTGTGGCTCAACTAGTGTTGACTCATCTAGTGTTGTGACTCATCTAGTGTTGTGACTCTAGTGTTGTTACTCATCTAGTGTTGTTACTCATCTAGAGTTGTGACTCATCTAGTGTTGTGACTCACCTGTGTTGTGACTCACCTAGTGTTGTGACTCACCTAGTGTTGTGACTCACCTAGTGTTGTGACTCGTCTAGTGTTGTGCCTCGTCTAGTGTTGTGACTCACCTAGTGTTGTGACTCACCTAGTGTTGTGACTCACCTAGTGTTGTGACTCACCTAGTGTTGTGACTCGTCTAGTGTTGTGACTCGTCTAGTGTTGTGACTCGTCTAGAGTTGTGACTCGACTAGTGTTGTGACTCGTCTAGTGTTGTGACTCACCTTGTGTTGTGACTCGTCTAGTGTTGTGCCTCGTCTTGTGTTGTGCCTCGTCTAGTGTTGTGCCTCGTCTAGTGTGACTCACCTAGTGATGTGACTCACCTAGTGTTGTGACTCGCCTAGTGTTGTGACTCGTCTGGTGTTGTGACTCGTCTTGTGTTGTGCCTCGTCTAGTGTTGTGCCTCTAGTGTTGTGACTCACCTAGTGTTGTGACTCGTCTGGTGTTGTGACTCGTCTAGTGTTGTGACTCATCTAGTGTTGTGACTCATCTAGTGTTGTGACTCACCTAGTGTTGTGACTCATCTAGTGTTGTGCCTCGTCTACTGTTGTGCCTCGTCTAGTGTTGTGACTCATGTAGTGTTGTGACTCATCTAGTGTTCTGACTCACATAGTGTTGTGACTCATCTAGTGTTGTGACTCATCTAGTGTTGTGCCTCGTCAAGTGTTGTGCCTCGTCTAGTGTTGTGACTCATCTTGTGTTGTGACTCATCTAGTGTTGTGCCTCGTCTAGTGTTGTGCCTCGTCTAGTGTTGTGCCTCGTCTAGCGTTGTGACTCATCTAGTGTTGTGACTCATCTAGTGTTGTGCCTCGTCTAGTGTTGTGACTCATCTAGTGTTGTGACTCATCTAGTGTTGTGACTCATCTAGTGTTGTGACTCGTCTAGTGTTGTGACTCGTCTAGTGTTGTGCCTCGTCTAGTGTTGTGCCTCGTCTAGTGTTGTGACTCTCTAGTGTTGGGGACTCGCTATGTTGTGCCCTCTCTAGTGTTGTGACTCGTCTAGTGTTGTGCCTCGTCTAGTGTTGTGACTCGTCTAGTATTGTGCCTCGTAGTGTTGTGCCTCGTCTAGTTTTTGGGGACTTCACCTAGTGTTGTGACTCACCTAGTGTTGTGACTCACCTAGTGTTGTGACTCACCTAGTGTTGTGACTCGTCTAGTGTTGTGCCTCGTCTAGTGTTGTGACTCGTCTAGTGTTGTGACTCGTCTAGAGTTGTGACTCGATTAGTGTTGTGACTCGTCTAGTGTTGTGACTCACCTTGTGTTGTGACTCGTCTAGTGTTGTGCCTCGTCTTGTGTTGTGACTCGTCTAGTGTTGTGCCTCGTCTAGTGTGACTCACCTAGTGATGTGACTCACCTAGTGTTGTGACTCACCTAGTGTTGTGACTCGTCTGGTGTTGTGACTCGTCTTGTGTTGTGCCTCATCTAGTGATGTGCCTCGTCTAGTGTTGTGACTCACCTAGTGTTGTGACTCGTCTGGTGTTGTGACTCGTCTACTGTTATGACTCGTTTAGTGTTATGACTCGTTTAGTGTTGTGACTCGTCTAGTGTTGTGACTCGTCTAGTGTTATGACTCGTCTACTGTTATGACTCACCTAGTGTTGTGACTCGTTTAGTGTTGTGACTCATCTAGTGTTGTGACTCGTCTACTGTTATGACTCGTCTAGTGTTGTGACTCGTCTAGTGTTGTGACTCGTCTAGTGTTGTGACTCGTCTAGTGTTGTGACTCGTCTAGTGTTGTGACTCGTCTAGTGTTGTGACTCGTCTAGTGTTGTGACTCGTCTAGTGTTGTGACTCGCCTAGTGTTGTGACTCATCTAGTGTTGTGACTCGTCTACTGTTATGACTCGTCTAGTTTGTGACTCGCCCTAGTGTTGTGACTCGTCTAGTGTTGTGACTCGCCTAGTGTTGTGACTCGTCTACTGTTATGAATCGTCTAGTGTTGTGACTCGTCTAGTGTTGTGACTCGTCTAGTATTGTGACTCGTCTAGTGTTGTGACTCGTCTAGTGTTGTGACTCGTCTAGTGTTGTGACTCACCTAGTGTTGTGTCTCACCTAGTGTTGTGACTCGTCTAGTGTTGTGACTCGTCTAGTGTTGTGACTCGTCTAGTGTTGTGACTCGTCTAGTGTTGTGACTCGTCTAGTGTTGTGACTCGTCTAGTGTTGTGACTCGTCTAGTGTTGTGACTCATCTAGTGTTGTGACTCGTCTACTGTTATGACTCGTCTAGTGTTGTGACTCGTCTAGTGTTGTGACTCGTCTAGTGTTGTGACTCGTCTACTGTTATGACTCGTCTAGTGTTGTGACTCGTCTAGTGTTGTGACTCGTCTAGTGTTGTGACTCGTCTAGTGTTGTGACTCGTCTAGTGTTGTGACTCGTCTAGTGTTGTGACTCGTCTACTGTTATGACTCGTCTAATGTTGTGACTCGTCTACTGTTATGACTCGTCTAATGTTGTGACTCGTCTAGTGTTGTGACTCGTCTTGTGTTGTGACTCGTCTACTGTTATGACTCGTCTAGTGTTGTGACTCGTCTAGTGTTGTGACTCGTCTAGTGTTGTGACTCGTCTAGTGTTGTGACTCGTCTAGTGTTGTGACTCGTCTAGTGTTGTGACTCTTCTAGTGTTGTGACTCATCTAGTGTTGTGACTCATCTACTGTTATGACTCGTCTAATGTTGTGACTCGTCTAGTG